CTTTGGGGAGAAAAAGAAGCAGGTGAAAAGAGGGAAGGCAAAGATCACAGAGAGAGATTCGGTTTTCTGAGGCCTCAAGAACCACAACGTTGTAACATAACTATGGAGTTATGAACCGGAAACCCTACACAAAAAACCAATATGGTAATCATATTACTCCCTCCCTTTTTGCTTCATCTTTCAATGAAAGCACAGCCACAGTGACCACAGAGTCTCCCATTTACCACACCCATGGGAAGGAGTCGACTATCAAAAGACACCTCTTGACACCCTTTGAGGACCCTTGAACCTCCCCAAGGCCCTCTTCACAGCTCCAGTCACATCCTTGTTTCTAAGGCTGTAGGTGAGGGGGTTCAGCATGGGTGTGAGAATGGTGTAAAACACAGAGAGGACTGTTGGGGTCCGTGCCGGGGGTGGTGGAGAATGAAAGAACACACAAAAGACAAAGACACACAGAGAACATGGCGGCCGCGCTCAGAGCCTCCGCCTCACACTCCATAAACCCCACGTCAGCAGAAAGAATGCAATGCAAAACCAACTTTCTTTTCCCAGATGTAACCTTCTACTCAGTTCTTTGTTTCTATGCTCTTCCTTATCTGCCCGCCTTCTTGGCGCCTACGGGAGTTCATTAAAAGTTCAATTGGAGATACTGTCCTTGAGCCCTATCTATTCTCAGCATACTGTTTTCAAAGGCCCCTGCAGAGGACTTTGTCCTGGGCAGGCGTGTGGTAGGAGTGTGGCAGCATGTAGGTGTACATGGCAGCCCCATAGAACAAGGACACCACAGTCACGTGGGATGAACAAGTGGCAAAGGCCTTCTTCCTGCCCTCCACTGAGCTCATGCGGTGAACTGTGGTCAGGATTCGGGCATAGGAAGCAAGGACTACAGAGAAAGGAATCAGCAGCATCAAAACACAGCACACGTACATCACTGTGTCGTAGAGGGCCGTGTCTGCACATGCCAACTTCAGGACTGCCGGAGCCTCACAGAAGAAGTGGTTGATCTCCCAGGAATTGCAGAAGGGAAAGCTCATGGTGATGGGGGTTAGGAGGAAGCCATCCAAAGAGCCCCCAAACCAAGAACCTACTATAATCATCCAACAGACCCGGCGGCTCATGAGGACAGGGTATCTCACAGGGCTGCAGATGGTCACATAGCGGTCATAGGCCATGAGGCCCAACAGGAAGAATTCAGCTCCCACAAGGGTGAGGTAGAGGAAGTGTTGAGCTGTGCACCCCACAAAGGAAATGGTCCTTTGATCCAGCAGGTAATCAATTAGCATCTTAGGCACAATGGTGGAAATGTACATCATGTCAATTAAGGAAAGGTGGCTGAGGAGGAAGTACATGGGTGTATGAAGGCGCAAATCTGTTTGGATTAGGAAGATCATAACCCCATTGGCCATCAGTGCGGTGACGAAGATGGTAGAGATGATGGCAAAAGGAAGACCTGAGGTTTCCTTTCTGTCGAACAGCCCCATGAAAGTGAAGTCCATAGAGGATGTGTTGTGCTCTTCCATTGATCCTACAATTGTGCTGATATCAGGTAATATCTTCCAAATAAGATGACAGCATTCCCAGGGCAGTAAAATAACAACATTTGAATTAATTGTTAGGTAGCAAACTTTTAAAACTGGGAAGAAAACATTTAAAAAATAGTATTCTTGGTACACTGGGACTGATATCTAGCATTTAATCTATTCCAAAGAGTTTTTAAATAAAATTGGTCATTATTAATCAATAATTGCTTAAATACATTGGAGAAGATGATGTCAGCAGATGATACTGTATTACAATGATATACATAACAATGCCTCAGGGTGCATACCATGCTACACAGCAGTTAAACATACCATGGCCTGGGGTGTGTGTGTGTGTGTGTGTGAGTATTACATTAGATGCATTTAAATTTGTATTATTATTTAATGCATTATTCGGTGGTCGGCATCACCACCACTTTCAAAACATCTTTTTTTAAAATTTTTTATTATTATTATTATACTTTAAGTTCTAGGGTATATGTTCATAAAATTTCATTTCATAAAATTTCATTTCATAAAATTTCATTTCATAAAATTTCATTTCATTTCATAAAATTTCATTTCATTTCATTTCATAAAATTTCATTTCATAAAATTTCATTTCATTTCATAAAATTTCATTTCATAAAATTTCATTTCATTTCATAAAATTTCATGTCATTTCATTTCAAAAAATTTCATATCATTTCATTTCATAAAACTTCACTTCATTTCATAAAATTTCATTTCATTTCATTTCATAAAATTTCATGTCATTTCATTTCATAAAATTTCATTTCATTTCATTTAATAAAATTTCATTTCATTTCATAAAATTTCACTTCATTTCATTTCATAAAATTTCATTTCATTTCATATCATAAAATTTCATTTCATTTCATAAAATTTCATTTCATAAAATTTCATAAAATTTCATTTCATTTCATTTCATAAAATTACATTTCATTTCATTTCATATAATTTCATAAAATTCCATTTCATTTCATTTCATTTCATAAAATTTCATTTCATTTCATAAAATTTCATAAACTTTCATTTCATTTCATAAAATTTCATAAAATTTCATTTCATTTCATTTCACAAGATTTCCTTTCCTTTCATTTCATTTCATTTCATAAAATTTCATTTCATTTCATTTCGTAAAATTTCATTTCATTTCATAAAATTTCATATCATAATATTTCATTTGATTTCATTTAATTTCATACAATTTCATTTCATAAAATTTCATTTCATTTCATTTCATAAAATTTCTTTTCAGTTCATTTCATAAAATTGTATTTCATAAAATTTCATTTTAATTCATTTCAAAAAATGTCATTTCATTTCATAAAATTTCATTTCATTTCATTTCATAAAATTTCATTTCATTTCATTTCATAAAATTCCAATTCATTTCATTTCATAAAATTTCATTTCATTTCATAAAATTTCATTTAATTTCATTTCATAAAAGTTCATTTCATAAAATTTCATTTCATTTCATTTCATAAAATTTCATTTCATTTCATTTCATGTCATTTCATTTCATTTCATTCCATTTCATAAAATTTCATTTCATTTCATTTTATTTCGTTTCATTTCATTTCATAAAATTTCATTTCATTTCATTTCATAAAATTTCATTTCATTTCAATTACTTTCATAAAATTTTATAAAATTTCATTTCATTTCATAAAATTCCATTTCATTTCATAAAATTTCATTTCAAAAAATTCCATTTCATTTCATAAAATTTCATTTCATTTCATAAAATTTCCTTTCATTTCTTTTCATAAAATTTCATTGTATTTCATTTCATTTCATAAAATTTCATTTCATTTCAATTCTTTTTGTTTGATAAAATTTCATTTCATTTCATTGCAATTCATTTCATTTCTTAAAATTTCATTTCATTTCATTTCAATTTATTCCATAAAATTTCATTTCATTTCATTTCATAAAATTTCATTTCATTTCTTTCATTTCATAAAATTTCATTTCATTTCTTTCATTTCATAAAATTTCATTTCATTTCATTTCATGTCATTTCATTTCATTTCATTTCATAAAATTTCATTTCATTTCAATTCCTTTCATTTGATAAAATTTCATTTCATTTCAATTCATTTCATTTCATAAAATTTCATTTCATTTCATTTCAATATATTTCGTAAAATTTCTTTTCATTTCATTTCATAAAATTTCATTTCATTTCATAAAATTTTATTTCATTTCATAAAGTTTCATTTCATTTCATTTCATTTCAGAAAATTTCATTTCATTTCATAAAATTTCATTTCATAAAATTTCATTTCATAAAATTTCATTTCATAAAATTTCATTTTTTTCATTTCATTTCATAAAATTTCATTTCATTTCATAAATTTTCATTGCATTTCATTTCATTTCATAAAACTTCATTTCATTTCATAAAATTTCATTTCATTTCATTTCATTTCATAAATTTCATTTCATTTCATTTCATAAAATTTCATTTCATTTTATTTCATTTCATTTCATAAAATTTCCTTTCAGTTCATTTCATTTCACTTCATAAAATTTCATTTCATTTCATAAAATTTCATTTCAGTTCATTTCATAAAATTTCATTTCATTTCATTTCATTTCATAAAATTTCATTTCATTTCATTTCATGAAATTTCTTTTCAGTTCATTTCATAAAATTTTATTTCATAAAATTTCATTTTATTTCATTTCAAAAAATTTCATTTCATTTCGTAAAATTTCATTTCATTTCATTTCATTTCATTTCATAAAATGTCATTGCACTTCATAAAATTTCATTTCATTTCATTTCATAAAAATTCATTTCATTTCATAAAATTTCATTTCATTTCAAAAAATTTCATTTGATAAAATTTCAAAAAATTTCATTTCATTTCATTTCATTCATTTCATTTCATAAAATTTCATTTCATTTCAAAAAATTTCATTTGATAAAATTTCAAAAAATTTCATTTCACTTCATTTCATAAAATTTCATTTCATTTCATTTCATTTCCTTATTTCATAAAAATTCATTTTATTTCATTTCATTTCATTTCACAATATGTCATTTCGTAAAATTTCATTTCATAAAATTTCATTTCATTTCATTTCATAAAATTTCATTTCATTTCATATTTCATAAAATTTCATTTCATTTCATTTCATAAAATTTCATT